CCGCTCAGCCGGTTCCAGCGCTAGCAGAGCCCCGCCCGCCCGGTGCGTCCTGGGAACCCAGAGCCTCACCATGCTCCTCCTGGCTTCGGCAAACACCTTCTTCTCCTCCTCTATTCTCCTCCTGGCCGCCTCTTCTGCTTTCCTCTTCTCCTCTTCTCTCCGCTGTCTTTCCATTTCCTCAAAACCGAGTTTCAGTTTTCCAGGGCGGCACTCTTTAAAACGTCTTTGTGTGTCTTCGTTTTCCTCCTCTTCGTTTTCCTAGCCAGAGAAACAATTCGCTCCTAAGAACCGGGGTTCGTTAACGAGGGCGACGAGCTGCGGCGCTCAAGGCACAGAACCGGCCGCTTCACACACGACTGTTCATGCTCTTAGTGTACTCGGCCAAAATGCCTTTCCCTCTTACCACAGGAAAAACATTCTACGTAAGACAAACTATTTGAAATGCGAAAACTGCCGAATAGAGATACACTCGAGTTAGATGGAACTTCTCAATCAAGCCAAGTTTTAGACAAAATGAAATACTTCAAAAAATCTGAAGGGGTCGTACTGAACACAAACATAAAGTGTGTGTGTGTGTGTGTGTGTGTGTGTGTGTGTGTGTGTGTGCGCGCACTTATGTTGAAGCTGACGTATACCTATGTGGAGCCTTTTAAAGTTCCCATTTTTTAATTTTTAAAGAATTTTTTTTTACTGTGAACTATGACACCTTCCTCATAGTGATCAGGTTCTTATCCGGAACTCTCATAGAAAATTCAAATTCTGGGCCAGGTTGTACGTTGGCAGCAGAGTGGGCTGTCTATTGTAGAGCCTTGCATCCCCAGGCACACCAAAACCAGACAAAAACTTCAAATTTCATGGTTTTCTTGCATTTTAAATTCATTTGAATATTAATTGAAATGTATTATTTGGTTATTGTATTTCTGTTTAAGTTGACTGCCAGCAGTATTATAAAATGTGTAGTCACACAAATGTATACAAAAGTATAAGATTTTCATTAAATGTCCAGAAAATTTACAAAATGCTCTTGAACCTAGGCATTTACCTATTTCTTCAGTATCTACCTCCTCCTTAAACTGCTCCATGAGGGTAAGAATCTTTTTTTAATTTCTATTTTTATGAGTCCACGTGTGCAGGTCATGATGGTTGCGTTCCTTGTGGGAAGTTGGTGCGTGGGGCAGAACACATGTGAACTCTTCTTACTCTCCCCACCATCTTCTGGGCCCCCTTCCTTTTGGAAAAGATCTAGCTCACTTCCTACAATCGGTCTTTTATTTTGCTCTTTACTTAGACTCTGTGTTCCTCATATAAGAGAAACCATGTGGTATTTAGGATTTATGATTTATGTCTGATTTATCTCACTTAACATGGTCTCAGAGGGCATCCAACTTCCTAAAAATAACTCAGATTTAGCCTTATGACAGAATAATACTCCATTGGATTATAAATTCCAAGCTTTATCCATTCACCTGTTAAGATTTTTGAGATATAACCCTTAGACTACCACTGATGAAAACCGATTAAGAAAGTTGTGGTAACTTTAAAAATTACAGGTGTTTCATTTCCAAATTCTTCAAATGAGATTGGGAACCAGGATTTTTTTTGATAAATCTATTCCATACTATGAATAGTTAACATTTTAAAGCATTTAGCAAATTGACAATGTGAAATAGGAAGAAAAGGGCTAAAGGTGTAGGGAAAGTGGGAAGGGTAGGGGAAAGGTAATAAGGGAGAGGAAAAAATAGGAGAAAATGAAAAGATGGAAATTAAGTGTTTGTAAATGGAGAGGGGAGGAGGGGGTGAAGGGAGGGCAGGGACAAGGGGAAAAATGAGAACCAAGACCTGTCATGTAAAGGTACACGATCCCAGTAAGGAATGTAACTGTACTGTATCCCTAAAATGTACCAATAAACACAATGAGGAGAAAATAAATAAGTAAATAAAGCATTTAGCAGATGCCAACAATGTTTTAACTCAATCATTTAAGAAGTTAAGCACTAGGGCCAATCGGGGATTTAGCTCAGTGGTTCTACCACCTCCCTTGCAAGCCCAAGGGCCAAGTTTGATCCCTGGTACCAAAAAAGAAAAAAGTTAAGCACTATTGTTGTTACCATTTTACCCATGAAATCAAGATTTACAGAGTTTAAATTGGGTGTGGTGGTGCACGCCTGTAATCCCACCACTTGGGAAGCTGAGGCAGGAGGATCCCTGTGAGTTCGAGACCAGCCTGGGCTATGTAGTGAGTTCCAGGTCAGTCTCAACTACATAGTGAGACCCTGTCTCAAAAAAACAAAACAAAAAAAGAACTGGAAAATGTCCTGCAACTATGACACTAAATACACTACAGACTGAACTACAGAAAAGAAACTAGGTTTCCTGAGTCACTGTTTTGCAAACATGTATGAATAACAGTATAAAATAAAAATTCAAAGCATATTAGATATAAAATGCCCCAAAGTTGAAACATGAAGACAATACAGATGCATTTTATATGTTGAATATATATATGGTTTCAAAATCAAATAGCCTTGAACGCCGGGGAATAACCCTTCTCTAAAGCTCACCAGCTTCCCCAGTTAATATAAAACCAAGTGGTACATTTCTTACCATCTGCCGCCTGGCTTCCTCAAAGGCTCGCTTCTCTTCCTCTAAACGCTGTCTGGCCTCCTCTTCCGCTTGCTTCTTTCGGAGTTCTTGTCTCTGTTGCTCCAGTTCTTCGAAAGTCAATTTCAGTTTTCCAGGAAAAGGCGATTCTTTTTTTGCCTCATTTTCCACTTCATCATCCTAAGAAAACATGAGATTGACCTGTTAGCCATAAAGGAAAATGCTGTTAAGCAAACTGTTTTCATTGTTCTTTAAAAAATTACCATGACCAATGAAAGACACTTTGCTTCCTTGAGAGAGCACCGCTGTTCCTCGTGTCGGATTTTATCTTCTTCACAGGTAAGCCTTTCTTTTTCATCCTGTTCTTTTTCTAGATCCTCAAAATTCCTCATTTTTCCAGATGTTTTGTATGATTTGACAGGCACCACTGTTATTAGTAGTGAGTCATCTCCTTCCTGTTGTGTAAGAAAGATAAAAAGCTTATATCTTCTTAATAAAATTCAGGTCTTGGGGACTTTACCTCCATCAATGGTGAATTTCGTTTCATTGCCATGAATGTCATTATGAAAGACAAAAAAATATTTATCTTTTTCTACTAATTACTCTTAGATATCTTTCTCGGAACTCACTGTGCATTATTAGTTAATCTTACTGAAATCCACTGCTGACAAGGTCGGAGAAGCATTCCATCCCCTAAAAGGTGGTGTTATTAACTAGTCAGGTGACAGAAGTGACACTGGCGGCTGAGTCACGTGATCCCGCACAGCTCGTGTGCACGTGAGCGGGCTCTACGTCAATTTGATGGTGGATGGATTCAGCTTGAACGCACAAAAAAGTTTCTTCGTGTGATTCTTCACACAGGTTTGCAAATACTTGATAAGACTAGTGTCTAATTTTTAAAACCCCATGAGAGAGCCAACTGATTGACTAAACATTTATAATATAGATACAAATATTTAGGATTTTATCTATTAAAATATTTTTAAATGTTTTAATTCATTTCAGTTAGCCCTACTACATAATCCATTGTTCCAACTTTTCTCAAAAATAAGAGAATTACAAAATGTAATACACGTCCTTTAAATATTTCCAATTTCTGTGGCTATAGTTTTAGGCACACCAGCAAATTGATCTTTAACTTGCTCTGTTAGTGAAAAGGGATAACGAACAGAAACGTGATTGTTGATCGTGGTAACACACACTGTGAGAACCAAAACATAAACTATCAGGAGCGCTGGGGAGAAAAAGACGAACAGTGAAAAGAAATCTGTCTTTAAAATGTTAGCTTTTGACAATCTCAACCGTTAGTAAGAATTCATGAAATATATAGTTTTGGCAGAGTGTCCCAAACTGAGACTTGCTTTTCTAATCCCACTAGGAGAGCAAAACCATTTTCCCTTAAAAACACTAAGCTTTAGAGTTGGAAAGTACAACAGTACACCTTGCCTTTGAAAAAACAGACTTCTTTTTTGTAGTTACTGTTATATAAAATGAAGTAAAGAGAAGCCCTTCTAGTTTTTCTGAGATTACAAGATACTGTGGGAATCAGATAGTTGGAGGTGAGGTGCTTCATGAAAGGAAACGTCTGTTTACCTCGGATCCTGATTCAGTTGCCGTATTGTTTACGTCCTCAATCTATTGAATGAGAATTTCATGTCATTATGTTACATTGGATTTCTGCTTCTTGCTTTTAAACATACAACTGAAAAGGAATTTAGTTGTGACTTACGGTAAATTTTCAAATGTATAATTTTGGAAATATTTCATGTTGTTCCAAATTAGCCAAATGTTTTGTAAATGGAAATTAAACCTTAAATGAATTTTTGCACCTTGAAGTCAATATCCAGGGAACAGCATAGTAAGAGAAAATTAAGATAATGCCTACCTTTGTAAATCTGGAAACTGAATAATGGACCAGAGTCTCTGACCTGGCTGTGAGCTTACCAGCAGCAGTTAGGAATTTAATTAGCAGTTTAAACTGAAATACACAGAAACCTTCCATTACGTGCCCCTGCCCCAACAAAAGGAAAACTGATCATTAGCAATCAACTACTTGTCATGATTATATTTACAACATCAAAATAGGGCAAAAATACAAGTGACCACAATGATGTGATGTAGCATACAGGCTAATTTAGAGGGGAAAGAATTCTAGAACTCAGTGTTTTCTCTGTATGTTGAATAGCTCTGAAAAGGAAAGACTCTCATTTAAAAAGTGAGAACTCTGAAGGGAAAAAATGAAAACAAAGCTTTTGTACATAGGGAGGGAAGGGCCTTGATGGAGGAATGGGATAAAATAAAATAAAATTTATCTTCAAAATTTTTTTAAAAAGAGAACTCACTGGGCACAGTGTAATTCCAGGGTCTTGGGAGGCTGAAGCAGGAGGATCGCAAGTCTGAGGCTAGCCTGGGCAATTTAATAAGACACTGACTCAAAATTTTTTTAAATAAAGTGTTTTAAAGGGCTGGGGATATAGTCCAGTGCAGACCCTGCACTCAGGCCCCAGCAGCACGGTTGACGGGACGCTCATCGCTCACTTGTGCCGTTAACATACACGAGAGGCAGGCAGTGTACCTCCAAAGTAATAAGTGAGAGACGATATCTGATTTAAATACTGCAGTGTTTGCCATTTTAGAAAAACAAGACATGGGCAAGAGGAAAGTAGGGACCGTAAGAAAGTAAAGCTTCACAGGCTGGGTATGTAGTAATTTCCAATACAAAAAGAAAAGAAAGTAAAACTTCAAATTTATAATTATTCTAATTATTTATAATATTAGTGAGTTTGGAAGTATTTGTTCCTTGTGCAACTTAAGGGAATCCTGTCCTACTGTGGTTTACAGTAGGAACTGGGCTGTGTAAGGACTTTCACCTGACTTTCCTATATTCTCTGTCATGGAAAAAATAATATTTTATTTATATAAATAATATATAAATAAATTATTCTGAGCAAATCATTTACTTTTTAAAGTCTACTCTGTACTTTAATAATTTATTTTTAATAAATTCATTCAGAAGCCGGCCACACACACCTGTGATCCCAGCACTTGGGCGGCTGACGCAGGACTGCTGCAAACCTGAGGCCAGCCTGCGCTGGAGGAGACCTTGTCTCAGAAAACCAAAACGATAATAATAATTTCATTCAGGATAATTTCCTTGGTTCCGGAATTACCTGTTAACATTGATTTGCTATGGAAACGGTAAAGGTTTTATTGAATGATGTATTATACAAAGAAAAAAATTACTGGATCTACAATAAAATAATTTCAAAATAGGGCCGGGGATTTAGCTCAGTGGTGGCCTCTCCTGCCTTGCAAGTGCAAGGTCCTGAGTTTCATCCCCGACACCAAACAAAACGAAAAACAACGACGAAAAACTTGCCTTCTAAAAAATACTATCAACTCCTATAAAAATTACATGAAGCTCTCAGTAAAAAGATCCAGACTGGGCTGGGAATTTAGCACAGTGACACCGCACCTGCCTGGAAAGCACAAGGTCCTGAGTTCAATCCCTGGTACAAAAAAAAAAAAAAAAAAAAAAAAAAATCCAGCCTTTGAGAGCACAGGAAAGAGAAACGCAACTTCCTTTTCCTGGATGCCACACCCTCCCCAGATCTACCGCCACTTATGACAAGGTGTTCTGATGCGTTTACAGTTTTTCTTTGCTCGTTTTGAACTATTTCCAAAAGGGCAAAAGATGGAGTCATTTTCTTCAGTAAGCAAGGAGTGCGTGGAAGGGGCCACAGCGTCAGTGCGTTCAGAGAACAGAGCTGCAGGTCAGCCATGATGTCGCCTTCCAGAAGCCACCACTGAAAAGGACTTCCCAGCTGTCCCTTTAACCTACAGCAGGCAACCCCTTTACTTCTTTCCGGGTCAGTTTCTTTTCACCCCTCTCATTTCAAGATCCTCTCCCCTTTCTAAGTTGATGGGCTTCAATTTTTCCCATCTGTGTATCTTTAAAGATAAACATGTAATATTAATATTTTTCCTCAGATTGTTTTTATTCTAACATCCCTGCAATACACAAGTCATATCCAATTTCAATTCATCATAAGCTCCTAGAATCTTTTGTGCTTTGGCCTCAAACTCACGGCTGTGATCCTCCTGCGTGCTGGGAGTGATTACAGGGGTGCACCAAACAGGCCTAGGTCCTACAACTCTAGAACCGGTACTTATCTTGGCAGTCCCTCCTTCACCCCAACCCCCAAACGGAAATCCCAGGGATTTTGTTTGTTTTTGGTAGCAGGGATCAAACTCAGGACCTTGTGCTTGCGAGGCAGGCGCAGCACCACTGAGCCAATCCCTGGCCCCTTTCACAGCATTCTTGCATGTGGATTTGTACAACTGGACTTTGTAAACAACACTAAGATTCTCTTGCCTATCGGCCATCTTCTACTCCTTATATTGAAAGAAACAGTGGATTTTATTAGATCTGAGTGGAAAATATACTTAGATTTTAAATTAAACTTTCCATATTTATAAGATGAAAGTATTTCTAATACCCAGCTCTGTCTACACACCCATAGTCTAACAGGCCCAATATTTTTTTAACCAGGGTTCTCCGGCCCCTGCCACGTTAGCAGACTTTGGAGTAATTAAGTTCTTTTTTAGGATCAGATTTTGTTTGCATCACTCTCTGAAAATCCTATGTCTTCATTATATTCAAACCCACTTTTTCAACACACACACAATTTTTAAAATCATTTTTCTTTTTTTTTGCAACAGGCTCTTGCTTTGTAGTACAGCCTGGCCTTGAACTCTAGGTGATTTTCCTGCCCCAGCCTCCTGAGGGCTGGGGTCACAGGTGTGTGCAACCATACCTGGCCCACACAATTTTTTTGAAAAACCATGGCCTGTGTATTCCATTCCTGAGGCTGAGTTGGCTTTGAAAGGCTTTCAGTGCTGTAAAAGGATACAAAATTTAAAGAGGTAGCTGGGTGTGGTGGCCCAAGCCCGTAATCCAGCACTCAGGAGGCCGAGCCAGGAGGATCCCTGCAAGTTCCAGGCCACCCTGGGCTACAAATCTAGACCCTGTCTCCAAAAAAGGGAGGGGAATGGGAGAGAGGCTATCATCCAAGTCTGTTACATGCATGTACGAAAATGTCATAGTCCTTTTATTCTATATAATTAATATGTGCTAATAGATTTAAAAATAAAAAACTTAAAAGACTAATCTCATGTACAAATTCACTGTTTTCTGTCAAACACCATATATTTAAATTATATATTTTATTCCCTTATTTTGTAATTTATAAAATAATTATATTACCTACCTATATGTTTATAATTTATAATAATTCTCATTTACCATAGTTTTATTTCCTGGTGAATTTTCACATCAAAACGAATGTTAATATTAATGACTGGAAGATCTGAATATTTAAGTATTTTTACTTAAGATGCTGTTTTAGGTTAGCTGCTATAAGTAGGTTTACGTTACACTCAAGTATTTACTGAGGAAACATACTGAGGAGCTTTCCTGGGGAAAATCGGCTTCAGAAGCAAACACCAAGTTAGTATGGCGCGTGTACCTGCTCGGCCCTTTTTGCTAGTTCTCGCTGTATTTTCCTCTTCTCTAACATATCCTGCTCCATCCTGCGTCTCCGTTCCTCCTCTGTCCTCTTCCTTTGTTCCTCTTGTCTTTGCTTCTCCATTTCAGCAAATCTGCCTTTCACAGTCCCTGGAGAACCCGAAACAGCCTTCGGTACTCTGTTCCTTTGTTTCGCACCTCCGCTCAGGACCTACCCCTCCGGCTCCTTACCCGTCAGCTTCGGGACGTAAGCCTTTTCTGCCTTAGAAGACACTTCCTCCTCGTCGTCGGAAGCAAGCATGGCCTTCATCTAGAAGGGAGCACAGATGGGTGTGAGCACAGGGCCGGGTCGCCTCCCCACCCCGAGTCCGAGCCCCGGAAATGAGTTCATAAACAGGCCCACAGCGTGCACAGCCCCTGATGATAAAGTAGGACCACCCTGCCCGTACGTGGGAGCAAGTGGACTGAAAATCTGACTTGTTTACTTCCTGAATTGTCCATTTCATCTTTTCAGACCAGGACTGACTGCAGGCGACTGAAACGGCAGAAAGTAAAACTGCAGATAAGGGGGCTACTACTACCCAGGCAGGCTACGAACGAGCTGCCAGACACAGAGACATCCCTCAGTTCTAGTAGACAGGGACTGTTACGGGCACATTACACGACGACATGAAACCGAGTGGAAGGTAAAAATGAAAATGAATGTTAGCACGAAAATAAAGTGAAATAACCTCCTGCTTTCTCCTGTTCCATTCTCTCTCTCTAATGTACTGTTCTTTTCTTCTTTGCTTTTCGTCTCTAGATCGCCTTTGGTTTCTTTCTTCCCTGGCCTTCTGCATGGCTTCAAACTTATCCTTTACGTCCCCCTGGCCAAGTTTGGGCACATAGGACTTGGGGACAGGTTTAGATGAAGAAAGCAGAATCTTCGTTAGAAGAAAGTAGAGAGAAGAGAGTTTGAAAAAAAGACAGGAAGAAAATTAGGTAAAGATTAAGAATAAGCAGTATGAAAGCACTTATTCAAACAGAAAAAGAAATGAGCTCCAAACCTTTATTTGAACCACTACATCCTAATTAGGTAATCACTACAACCCCAGTGTGGAAAATAAAATTACAGAAAATAGGAGGAAATATCAACATAAAATTCTTCTTTAGGGAAGAAATCCTGCTCTGTGAGTAGCATTCCACCAAACACCAATAAAATATAAAAATCGAAAACTGAAATCTAATGAGAAGACAACCTGCTTTTTTTTTGCCCAGCTTCATTATTAATGGTTCAGATCTGACTTCACTTGTTTAAAGGTTACCAAGACTAACTTCAGTAAAAGATGAGGGTGTTTTGGCCTTATTTTATCATTTTGTTTTTGTTTTTGAGACAGGGTCTTGCAATGTAGTCCAGGCTGGCCTGGAACTCGAGGCATCCTCCTGTCTCGGCCTTCCAAGCTGAGGTTTTTTAACTTTGTCATTTTAGGATGTCAGTAACTGAGATTGTTTTAAAATTCTCAGTAACTACAGCATAAAACCAAAGAAAAAGCTAAGAGAAACATTACTGTAGCTCCTAAAAGAACGATGCTCACAGAAGAGTCATCATTTTCTCCTGGGAGTGTAAGTCAAATCTGTTTTGTTTTGCTTTTTCAATACTGAGAGAATAACTACTTTTTTGAGGGGGGATACTGGGGATCAAACTCAGGACCTTGTCCTTGCGAGGCACGCAGCAGAACCACTGAGCTGAATCCCCGGCTCTAATAACTTCTAAGCCTCACCAAGACTTATTATTTTTTTTTTTTTGTACCGGGGATTGAACTCGGGTCCTTGCGCTTGCCAGGCAGACCACCGAACCGCTGAGCTAAATCCCTGGCCCAAGACATTTTCAATTCTGTTCAAGGAGCCAGGCATCACGTCCACCCCACTCCATTCACAAGCTTAGAAATCTATGCTTCCTAGACTCCCAGTGAAAATACTGACCCAAGCGCAGCTGGCGGTCGTATCTCTTCTTTTCATCTCACTTTATGCTATTAAATCACGAGTTTGAGTGCCCTTTCAGTGATGCTACAGTCAAGCTTACATCTCCCTCTTTTCTCTTTTTTTAAGCTTGTGAGACTTACCTCAGCCTTTTGGGAAATATCGTTCATGTTTGCTCTGTGTGGTTTTAGGCTGATGATGCTTTATTTTTGCACCTGAAAAAAAATGTTTAAATATTTTATAACAATTTGAATGACCCTTATTTAAAGTTTCTGTAAACAGAAACAGCATGTTAATTTCTCCTAAATAATGCAAGCAAGTAACAAACCGTGATAACCTTCAGCTCCTTTTCCCAAGAGTCAGGGCACAGACAACACAGGTCCGTGGTGTTAGAGATTCCTGGGTGAACTATCAGGTGAAAGGGTGCGTACTCTGCAAATATCCAGCATATTACCCCACAAAATGTCAAGTAGGTTAAGGTGGTTGATCATGTTTTTGGACCTATCAGTCTTCATCTATCAAAATTTTCTCTCTCTCCCTTTCATCCCATCATTTTGTTTTGTATAATTTCAGGATACCCATATACACGTGATTGTAGCACCTTCTTCTGGAATTATCCTTTCGCCAGTACAAAATTTCCGTCTTCATCAGGCATGGCGGTGAAGAAGGAAAGAAGGAAGGAAGTGAGGGAGGAAGGGAAAGAAAAAAGAAGGAGGGAGGAAGAGAGAAAGACAAAGAAATCCCCCTTCTTCATCTTGAACTTTTCTAATATTAAAATAGCCACACCAACTTTCCCAGGTTTACGGTTGGGTGTACAATTTTCTATCCATTTACTTTCAACTTATTTCTTTTTTTATTAATTAAGAATCTCTCTGAGAAATAGCATATAATGGACCTTGCTTTTTTATTATGTCTGCATTTCAATTTCAGTATTTCATCCATTACCACTGGGTCTGCTACCTCACAGTTACTTTCTTGAGATTGGGGCCTCACTGTGTTGCCTAGGCTGGTCTCAAAATCCCGGGCTCCAGTGAGCCTCCTGTCTCAGCCTCCCTGTACCTGGGTCTACAGGCAGCTGTTAGAGTGGCTTCTAGGCCTAGTCTCGCTCCGATCGCGCCCATCCGGTGCTCCTCGGCTTCCCCATGCTCTGTGCGCTCTCCGCGCCGTAACCACCGCAGGCCTCTTCTCCCCGCAGCCGCGCCTCGGCCGGGCTCAGTGTAGACGCCTGCAGATCGGCCTCGCCTCGACGCCTGCAGATCGGCCTCTCCGAGGCGAGGCCGCTTGCGGGCCAGTCTCGCCCTGGGCCACGGAGCTCAGGCTGGCTCCTCTCGCTCGCGTTTCGGTTCCTTCCGGCCTTCGTGTGGCGTTTTTAACCCTGAACCGTCTTCCGTTGTCTGAACGTTTATTTCCCCGCTCCTCTACTGGATACAACATGGCGGTTCCCTCCGGATAACGACCAGGCGGCGGGGCCGCGGGCCACGCGGTAGGAACACGTTTAGATTTGAGGAGAGCAGCCGTCAAAGTGTGCGTCCCCCAGCACGGATGCGAACCCGCACTTGGGAGTGTCCGACTCCCCGACTTTCCCGCTCTACCAAGTGGACGGCGGCATCTCGCCGCGGGGTGTGTGCGCCGTGCTGGGGGCGAGACCCGGGGCCTCCACACGGATCACATCCCCTTATTTAAAAGGGTGCTGAAACGGTGTCGCTGGGCTGCCCAGGAAGGACGCCGACTTGCCATCCTGCCTCGGCCTCCCAGGATCATAGGCGCGCACCACCGCATGGAGCCGCGCGCGCGTGTGTGCGTGTGTGCGCGTGCGCGCGCGTGTGTGCGCGAGCAGTGGTGGGGATCAATCCCGGGGCCTCGTGCCCGCCAGGCAAGGGCCCTGCCGCGGGGCCACATCCCAGCGCCGAGAGTCTACTGAGGCCTCGGTGAGGCCGTGAGCACTGCTGGGCCTGCGACTTCCTGCATATTTGGGTGAAGGTCCTTGCTCCGATGTCCTTGGCCTTCGGTGTCGTGAGGAGGAGGAGGTCAGCCGCAGACCCCGGGTCACCCGCTCCTGTGACCCCAGGAGTTTCGCTCCGTTCACCTTTTCCCCGTGGCCTGCGTGGGGCGGACCCGTGGAGGAGCTCAGCTGTGTCCGGGGGCCGCACCGTCGTCTCTCGCGCGCCGCTCCGGCGATCACGTGGGCCCCGCGGTCATCGCCCGCTGCCGCCGGAAGGGGGCGCTGCCGTACAGTAAGCTATTTTGAGAGCTCACATTCACTGACCTATCAAGTATACTGTTATGATTGTTTTATTTACTTGCTTGTTTAGGTTTTTGGAGATGAGGTCTCGTTACGCAGTTCAGGCTGGCCTTCCTCTCACTCGCCGCTCCGGCGATCACGTGGGCCCCGCGGTCATCGCCCGCTGCCGCCGGAAGGGGGCGCTGCCGTACAGTAAGCTATTTTGAGAGCTCACATTCACTGACCTATCAAGTATACTGTTATGATTGTTTTATTTACTTGCTTGTTTAGGTTTTTGGAGATGAGGTCTCGTTACGCAGTTCAGGCTGGCCTTCCTCTCACTATTTAGCCCAGGCTGGCCTCAAATTCGTGGTGATCCTCCTGCCTCAGCCTCCCGAGTGCTGGGATTACAGGCGTGCACCACTACAGTAATGGTCCTATGCAGAGGAAAGAAGGCAGAATAGATAGGGCTGGAACGACCCACGGCCTCTGGCCTCCTGGGGTCCTGCGGTGTACCCCTGAGGGAGCTGCTGGACGTCGTGAACTCATACTCTGTCATCTTTGTTCTCTCTCCAAATCGCGCTGGTTGTTCTGGATCTTTCCTCCCTCCACATAAACTATAAAATCTGTTGGTCAGCATCCACGAAATAAGTTGTGAGGCTTTTTTGATGGCGGCCACCTTGAACCTGCACACGGACTTAGGGAGAACTGCCAGGTTCACAACAGTCACTGCGTCTCCTGGTTCCTGCACGTGTCCTGCTCTCCGAGACGTCTCCTGCTTGTAAAGAGGATTATTCTGCAGGCCTCCGAGGACGGCGGCCGTTGCTAGCGTGCAGAAACAGCTCCGCGCTCCGGGCACAGCCTGCAGCCCTGCCTCTCACTCCCACTTCTGCCGGCTCCGCAGCGGCGTCCCGTTCCCGTTCCCTCACACGCAGACGCTGCGCCACCGCGCCACCGGCAGCACAGATCTCCTTTCTGCCTCCTGTGTTTGACCCAGATTTCAGCTCTTGTCCTTTCCTTCCCACTCTAATTCTTCTCCAGTGACTTAATGCACTCTGTAGCTCCGATTACCCGCTCAGCCTCCTCTCTCTTCAGCCCTCCCTCCCACACCCCCCCTGCTGAAGCACTGCCATGACTCAGCCTCCCCAGCTGCAATAGCTTGACGTTCTTCTCGTCCGCTTGTCCCTCAGCTAACTCTTACTCACTCAGTTCTCCGATAAGTTGTCGGGTCCCCAGGAACTTTCCTGAGACTCGGAGGCGCTTCTCCGCCATCTACAGTGCCACCCCGCCCTCCTGACCTCCTCCTCCCCAGAATGCAAAATCTGTGCTGGAGACTCCATTTCCGCGGACCCCTGTATCCACAGCACCTCGCGTGTGCTCCGCCACAGGAGGCCCGTGCCGACTGTGTGAAGCTTTCCAACTCCCAGCTGAAGCTCTATAAATGCTTAAAGACTGCAGATAAAGCAGCCAGCTCTTACGAATACTGCTGTGAAGGAACACGATATAAACCGAACATGCCATTCATTACATCAACGTTTGTTAAGCATCTGCTATGTGTCAGGCATTGAGAAACACAGTACTGAACAGACAGACCCAGTCCCTACTCTTATGGGATGTTTCGTTGTTTGTTTGATTTTTGCAGTACTGGGTGTTGAACCCAGGGCCTTTGCACATGCTAGGCAAGTACTGTACCATGAGCCACACCCCTGGCCCTCTAGTCTCATGTTCTTAATGGCCTCTCGGCAAAATTTCTCAACAAAAGCCTCGGAGCAGCATTTTTAAGTGGTCTAGCACACTGTTGAAAAACACTGGCAAGGCTTGAACACAAGACCTGAGACAGGACTGGAAGGCCACACACACTACACTCTGACCTTGTCACACACCTAAGCCCAGTGACTTCCGCTCTCCATCTGCGTGTGGCCCTTCCCTCACTGCTGCACCTGGGTACTTCCTGCTCCTTGCCACGCTACAGCAATGGAGCTACAGCCGAAAACAAACTCTGAAAGCTTTCCAGCCTTCAGCTTTTACTCTCCTACGAAACTGTCCATACTACATGTTTAAATTACCTGTTGAACATTTACAGAAAATTATACAATTATTCTTTTAGAAACACTCTCAAATCCCACGTATCACACATTACAATCATACTTCAATACCTGGGTTTCTTTGGTTTGGTGTTCTGAGCCAGGGTCTCACTGTGTAGCCCAGGCTGGCCCGGAGCTCACATTTTACCCACCTCAGTCACTTTCCTGCTTCTGTACATCAGCCGCCAGCAATTCGCTTGCTAGTCCATAAATTTATGTAGAATTTGCCTTCAGCACAGTGGTGTCAGGTCCTCCTCCAATTCCTCGTTGTTATGCTCACCAGAGCATTCAGTTTTATTTACTCCCCACATCTCACTATATTCTCCATTAATAATCTTGCAAAACGAGAAACTCCAAAATCCCAAGCACTCGCTTCAACAGTTTTCTTTCCTCTAGAATCCCAGGGCACACTTTCACGTTATCCATTCTTTTCAACAAGTACCAGCCGCCAAGGGTGATGGGGACACAGTCGCTCAGCTGCTGTGGGCGGCTGTCCTAATGTCGCTGCCTCAGAGCTTTTAACAGATACACAGGGTCAGAACAGTGGCTGTGCAGGCGCATCGCCCCTACCAGAACGGGGTTCCTCACAGCTCTTCCTATAGAGAACGCGCCCTGCGCCTGCTGTCCTTTGGCCCTCGAGGTTCCCGGCTGAGACCTGGCCCTGCACTCCCCGTCCCACTGTCCCCCCAAGGTCAGCCGGGCCTCATGGCCTGGAAGGGGTCCCACCTCTCTTCTCACAGAGATCAAGCCTATCTGTGATAAGAGATACCTCCAAGGACCAGGGACGTAGCTCTAGGTGGCACCGCGCCTGCCTCACGAGCACAAGGACCCGAGTTCGATCACTGGTACCAAAAGAAAAAAAAAAAAGGGCTTACATTTTTAGTTTACAGAATGCTTTATTTAGCTAACATACGAAAGTATATGAACGCATAAAAAAATAAGCTCTGATGTTTAAGAAAATGCCCCTTCTGGAAGAAAGGCTATGAATTACACGCCTGGATCTCAAACTCTCCAGGCCCAGGGCTAAAGTGTTGGCCTGTTATGGAGGCTCCGAGGTGACTTGTTTATACAAATTATATCTGTGATACGTACTGTATTAGCAATTAAAACAGAAAAACGTTTAAGTATGTCACTTAAAATAAGAACCCATTATCGATATTAACATTTAGAAAAAAGTAACTTTTCCAAAATAAAATAAGTGTGTTGTTGTTTTATATTTTTTAAAAAGTCTTTCTATGTGGCTTGATAAAAGGCAGATGTTCTCATATCTGCTTCTACATCCGAACTATTGGGATCTATTGTTTTGATTGAAGTCTATAAAGCAAACACAACCTCGTGCACATAAGTAGCTGGAGGAGGAGGAACTCCATTGACCTCTCAAGGGTGCTGGGGTCTCAGAGACTCGAGGCCACATCTGGAGATTTGCTGAATTATGGAAATGAACATCCGGTCAAAGCAGGTCAGTTCTCACAGTGGCAAGGCAGAGATTAGACTGAGCACTTCTCGCTGTGGTTTAGAGTGAGAAGTGAAAACTGCTTTGGTTTTTTAAGGCAGGGTCTCAGTCTGTGGCTCACGCTGGTCTTGAACTCACTGTGTAGCCCAGACTGGCTGGAACTCACAGTGATCCTCCTGCCTCAGCCTCCCGAGTGCTGGGACCACGCTCGGTGAAAACTGATTTAACAGTTTAATTCCTATGCTCGGTAACCTGAAGGCCACAGGTCTCTAGCTGGAGTCTTGTCCCTTCAGGATGTGGACTTTCCTCCTCTGTCTGAGCAGCAGAGGCCCTGGGTCCCTGACTGCCTTACAGGGCCGCAGCAAGCGCCAGACACACACTGCTAGGTGCACTCCCTCCGGCCCGCTGGATGTTGTCCAGAACGAGCATCCGAAAGTGTGCCTGCCATGGGCAAGGCCCGGCTGCAGTGCCCAGCGAGCCCTCACAGGAAAGAAGATTAGGATTTGAGAAAAAACCCTGACCTGAGCGGTGCTTCCAGTAAGGAGAACAGACGGCCCATCGGTCAGAGTTTGGTCACAGTGGAGGAGAGGCCCAGGAGGGCCTTTCCAGCACAACGAGTATCCACGCTTACAATCCAGTACCAGGGGGCAGAAGAATCTGCTGATGCCCAACTTCATCCTCTTTGAACAGATAAGAGGAAGAGACAGCCCCGGAGGCCAAGTACGGCTGGTGGGAGAAGCTGAAGGCCCCACCGCTACTTACAATTAATTCCAGGCAGGAAGTGTGGGAATAGCGGGGCTTACCCAGAGCAAGAAAAGGATCCGGGGTGGTGAGGAAGAGAGGGCGATAGGCGAGTCAGAGCACGGGGAATGAGCAGGACTTCACAAGGCACACCGGGGCGAGGGTGTGCACAAAGAGAAGCAAACGGTAACGAGGTGCCCAGCGCCCTCACAAGTGTGTGGGGGCCTAAGCTGGCCAGCGAATCCAAGCCAGAAAGACAAGCTGGGCACAGACCGGCCAGGTCTGATGCCGTATTTTAGGCAGTTCAGACTTGGGATTGTAGGCAACGGCAGGTCAGCAAGGTCTGTTTGTAGCAGAAGCACGCCTTAGTCAGGTACACGCTGCAGGAAGACAGGGAGGGAGGGAGGGACTCCTAACGGTGCAGAGACCGGAAATGAGATGGGCAAAGACAAGGGAGAGGAGGAGAAGTAGTGATCTTGCCAACAGGAGACAAGGGACAGAAATAGGACAGGAGCATCAGAAATGAAAAGCTAGAAGAGACATTGGCAAAGTGGCGCTGACAGGACACAGAGACCCATTACTCATCGAACAAGTATTTGTTAAGTTCCTACTTTGTGCCAGGCACCGTCCTAGGCTGCGGGGAGATAAAAGT